TCTCTGAGCGTCTTTCACGTGTGCAACTGGTACCTTCAAGTGGTGGGAGACAAGAAAGACAAAGATCTGCAATAGCCACTTCTTTAGTGATTCTTTTATTAATATCTCTTCATCCTCAAAGTTAAGACTCCAAAATGAACATGATTCTGTAGTTTACCCTTGCTAGCATCTCAGCCACAATGCAAAACTCTGGCCAGTCATTTACAACAGTTCATGAGACCTGTCAAATAAAGCCCTTCCTCTGGTGTTGTGACCTTTATCTTTGTGGTGAACAGACGTTACGACTTTGGCAGGATATTTTTGTTTGATGGACTGATCTATTCTCAGAAGATATAAAAGGTTCCCTGGGCACAAGAAAGTAATCTTGCCGCAGGCTGTTTGCTGTATTTGAATAATGTGCATCCTTCTGTACTTCTGGCACTGCAGAGAATAGGTTGGAGCAAATCTCCTTCTGGCTTTTGTTAATGTAACTCTGGGTAATTCTGCTGAAGTCAGTGATGTTTTGTTAGTGCTAAACCACAGTGACTGGAAGATGCCTTAAAGGACCACTTTGCTCTACTAGCCCATCTACGGAAAGTCTGTTGTCTCCACTGAAAACTGAAAGAAAAGCATCACAAGGATTTTCCTTTAGACTTTTAAATAGCAGAACTTTTTTTTTTTTTTTTTTCTTCAATGGGAAGTAATATTTTTAGACATTTTTAGCAGGATAATATTTTTACTGTAATCCCAAGGAAAATAATTGGGGCTGTCAAGAGTCCTGTACCCTCTGTCTTCCTTGTTAGGTGACATGCGTACGGCTATGAAATGTAAGGAGAAGGATCTGGGATATTCAGATGTGCAGCTGTACAATAAGTAGTCCAGTTGCCTGGGCATGAACAAGTAGTTTCTGCATTAGTCTGTTAAGGCTTTCAGGAGCAATTTTAGGGTTAGCTGCTAGGTTTTTTTCCCTGACTGAAAAAATTAAGAATTTGTGATCTTCATTAAGATTATGGTTATGGTCATTCTTAGCTTTGGTATGAACTGGCCATCTCATGCCTTTTTTATTGTAGCATTCAAGAATTGACTTTATGGTTCTGTGCTGGTGCTACCCTCTCCAATAATTTGGTTTTCTAGTGATGAAATAACTCAAAATACTACTTGTGGTTGCATTGTATATGTTCTCCTTATGTTTCAATAAAAAGTGGGAGGGTTGGTATAGGCAGTGTGGAACTAGCTCTTCAAGGTGAAAATGAGATTGAAGTTGTACAGCAGAAGAGTAAATTTAACTATAAAACCTTACAATAATTTATAATCTTATTTTAACTCACCTTATTATTTCCCCATTTAAAACCAGCTGTTCCTGCTTTTTTTTTAATTCACAAAATACAGTTTTAAATAATGTGTGTAATTCCAAAAATAAAATCCAGTCTCCTTTGATTTTTTTTCCCCTCCTTCATTAGTATGTGGGCATAAATGCTCTTCGCTCTGTTGGGGGTAGAATGACTAAGGTGATTGCGCTTCAGTTTAGGTCCAAGTGCAAATACCCCATTTCCCAGTCTAGCAAGAGCTAATTAGTGCTACACACAGACAGAAGAAACTTGACTGTGTAATCTCATTGATGGAGTGAGCACTTCCACTGAGAGAAGGCAAACAGGAATACTGTTTGAAGTCAATCCTGTTAAATGTCTGAGGTGACAAGAACCAGAACACCCATGTTTTGTTGTATTCCTTCTGCATAGTTCATACTCATGGAGCATATAAACACAGGTATATCAACTGTGTGGTTAGACATAAATAGAAAGCCTTTACTTCAAATAAACTAGGAAAATGAATGTATTTTTTTCTAGTTTTAATTTTGAATTGCTCTGTAAGTATATTCCATCCATGAAGTTGGGCCTCTAGACATCTAGCCCCTTCACCAAGAGAAATCAGAGACTGAGGTATTGCTCTTGCAGCAGCACTGCTTCATCAATATTGGGACGATGATGAAGGACACATAAAATTTACTTGGATGAGGGAGACCTCTGCTAGATATAACATCTTTGCAGTACCAGCCGCTTTCTTACTTACCAGACTTAGTTTCTGAGAGCAGTAGTATACTGTCTGACCAAGAGATCTCATACAGACAACAGAATCTTTATAACCACTTGACTTCCCACTTCGAACTCCACAAATTTAAGAAATCTAGTGTAAACACATAAAAAGCTGTATACAGTTTTAACTGTCCTATGAAGGTACCTTGCTGAAAACATCGTAGATTGTAATTTATAAAACGATTATTTTTTATAGATAAAACAAAAAACCTTACCATGACTCACCAGCAGTTGTTCTTGCATAAGTACAAGTTCCAGAAACCATCATCCTAAGCATTTATTTGCCTAGCAGAATAAAATATTTCCATAGTATCTTTCAAACTTGTCATGAAGTCAAAGTCTGCATTAGGTACTGCTGCAAGATCTTCAGTGGTGCATAGAAACTAATTCCAAACTTTGGTCCACAAGGAATGCTCAACTGGCACTTTAAAAAAAAAGAAAAAAAAGTGGCTATTTGGTGCAGCAGTGACTGAAATTTCTGACTTTGTCATTTTGTCTACAATAAAACAGAGTGATGAATGTAAAGTAAAATGAAGATACTTTTTTTCTTTTATTTTAACCTTGTCTGCACCAAAGACATACCTTCCTTCTTTAGAAAGATGTAGATGTAGGAGCAATAAAGATCCCTTCCCCTTCCTGCAGTTGATCTCTGTTGCCCCTGGCTTCAAATACGGAGTAATTTCCCTGTTCTAGAATATTACTTTCCTTCCTCCAAGGGTATTTTCCTGTTATTTGCATTATTTGTTTGATCTAATGCAGCATATTCCTTTCTATGAGTCTGCAACTTAGGGAATTTCCTGCGTCTTCCTGTGGGAACACCTTTCATGTTTCTTGTAATAATCATTCACATGAAGTGTCTATAGGTTGCATAAAGGCACATTCTGAATTTATTTAAACTTCCAGTGGTGATTCTTTTTCAGTATAAGCTTTGTGTGGATATGTTTGTATGTATATTATTTCTGTTTGTTTGTTTGAAAGGCTTAGTTTAAAGAAAGCCCAGTGCCAACAGACTCAATATCTGTGTTTTCAGTGCCAGCCTAGTGCATAGAAATCTCTGAATTACAACCCCTGGAAGCCTTTGTTGCTGGTCAAGGTAGGTCCATCTGAGGCTGTTTGTCTCCAGGCTAGAGGAATACAGAAGAATGAAAGGGAAAGGATTTCCTTCTCTAAGAACAGTACCAGGAACATATGGGAACATTTCTGCAAGCAGAGATACTCCTGCTGTATGTTTTGTCATTGATTGTTTTCTACTTATGGGGAATACAGTCCTGTTCCTGGCCTGCAGTTACTGTAACACAGAGATTAAATCCTTGTATGTTCTTAACTTTTTGCAGAACCAGCCAGAAACCTGTCCAGCTTTGCACTGTATAACCTCCCTTACACAGCAGCATTTCTGTGGGCCAATAATATAGCTAGCTGTTTAAACAGAAGGAGGTATGCACTTGTCTCTGCCTCTAAAGAAGAGATATAAAAACCAAGTTTAGGATTAAACACTGATAATATTTTTTCTCCAGATACCTCTTCAGCTCTTTTCAAATAAATGTCAGCAATTTTTACTCTATACCATTTTAAAACCACTCTTTTTAGATGTAATTGATAGGTACAAAAGCAAACACATAGGCTGAATAGGAGATTAGATAGCATCTGGTATTTATTGCATTTCTTAAAAAGTGGATTTGGAGACTTCATGCCAGTGCTGATTTACAATTTTTGTATTTCAGAGAGAATACTTGAGGGCTGAACTGTTATTTAGGTATGTTTATGTACCAGGTTTTGAAAGGGTCAGTGTTTGCATATTTGGACAGTTCATCCCATCTACTTTATGTGCCTGCTTTAAAACAGAGTGATAAACTGTCTGATAACAGATGTCTCCCTGTTGATCAGAGGGGTGACTGCTTTTGCAGAGTTCCTTGAATCCCACTTTAAGTGATCAACTTTGCCTGAGCTTGCAGTGAAAGTTGTGTGAATCATCTCACATGAAGTATTACTCTGTGTGTGGTTAATTTAGGAAACATTTCTTAGGTGTGATTGTTGCAGTAGTCCGAGGGAGACTTTAAGCTCTTTTTTAGTCAGTCAGATTGCTTGAATATATCTCAAGTCTTTTATTTGTCATATTAAAAAGAAGTTATCTCTCAATATCCTAGACACACAATGGAAAGAAGCAAATATGATTAGAAACAAGAAGAATGGTAGTATTCATTCTGCATAAATCCCAGCTTGGTAGTGGGTTCCTTAGAGGATTTGCTTTGTTATTCTTTCTTGATTTTTAGTCCAATAAATAAATTTTTTCATTATAGGTTATAAGAGGAAAAATTTCCAGTTAACAAGCTGGGGAAGGGAAAGCATATCCAGCTTATATAGTGATTTATTTTGGTTCTTGAAAATACTGACATGTCAGCCAGCTAGTGGAACTATTTTGTTTAGGTGTGTAAGAGGAGACAGGAAAAGCAAGTTTAATCTCAGAGAACTTTTTTAGAACTTTTTTAGAGGAATTGCTGCATCGTGGAAACATTCCTGTAGAATTTTGTCTTTGAACACCTGAACAGGTGTTGACCATCTGTGTTTTTAGAGGAAGATACTTCAAGATAATGCTTTAACTTTCATTAAAATATTAGTGTAGCAAAACTGCATATCACTAGATGTAACTGTTTCTTGCTTAGTAACAGGAGAAAGATACTAGTAAAGCCTATTGAGCTGAGGTCCTACATTTCCAAAATGTGACACTTAATGGTTAAACCTATTTAGGTTCTGGCTCAAGTCAGATTCTGAGACAAGGATTAGTTTGTTCTGTTTGTTGGGGTTTTTTTTTACTTCTAGCTCAGCTGTCAGGGTATATAGCAACACCAGCAATATTCCTCAGCTGATCTCAGGCCATGTGTAAGTATAGCACTCTCTTAGTTTTGTGATGTTTTCTTGTGTATTCTCCAGAGTGGCAAAAGTAATGAAGATTCCTGTGTATGAAACTCCAACAGGATGGAGATATTTTTCCAGTCTCATGGACTCTGGACGTTGCTCGCTTTGTGGAGAGGAAAGCTTTGGCACTGGTAAGTAATACATGTTCAAAAATTTCCACAGACTTTTAGTGACAACTTTTAATGTTCTTGGATGCCTTAAAGCCAAAGGCCAAGGTCAAAGCCCAAAGGTTCAGCAAATGAACTCTGTCTTTTGCTGGAATGAAGAACTATCAGTTGTTCACATCTTCAGGGTCTTCCTGTAACTTTGGTGTCCAGGACCTTGAGGTACAAAAAATGTGGAAGATGGGCATTCAGAAGCCATAGGCAACCTTATCACTGCCAAGACAACTTTTGGAGGTGCCTGGCACTCTCTTCTAACCTGAACATAGTGCAGAAAGATCCTACTGGTTCCACTGTAATAGTCTTTTCACAAACTGCAACAGCATTTGGAGGAATTTTGCCTTTATGGCAGTGTGATTCAGTGTACAAAGTGTGAGAATTGGTATGTCTAACGGTATGTCTAATCAAATCTATTGCAGACATCCCTTTTTGGAACATCCCACTTACTCAAAACTCAAATAAAATAACCATTATGAAATATTCAGTTTTTCTCCCTTATCTGTCCCAAGAACCAGTCAAACAATAGAATGCCGAATGGAAGGCAGATTTGAGCCCTCATTAATTCAGTACTGTCAGGAAGCATTAGAGCAAGCAATTATAATGTGTAGTCCGTAAATCTGCAATAATGTGGTTTTGATGTAGGAAGAAAAACCAAATGGATTTCACAGTGTTTCTTTTTTTCTTTTCTGCATTCTGGCACAGAAATACTTTCTTCTTTTTATTTATTTGTACAGTTATGTTACAAACATTTTTAAAGAAGCACATACCAGAATAAGTTAACCATCTTCTTGGCTGATAATTTATTCTGTATTTTGATGTCAGTTCCATGAAATTATTTATTTTGGTGCATAACTGATTGGCTATAGCTTTGTATAGAACTAATTTGTCATGCATTGACACATGGTTATAAATTTCACTTTGCTTTGATTGAGTCAAGTCTAGTCTTTATTTTTTTGTTTGAGGTCAGTCACAGCAGAATGCTGTTTTTTGAGAAATGAGGATACCTCTAAGCCATAGACATGCAACTTTATGTGTTAGCCTGTCATTAACTGTACGTATCTGAATGGACTATGATAGAAGAACCAAAAATGTGTTAGATTTCTTTGGGTGTCTGTAAAAAGTAAGATAATTTAAATTAATAATGACTGTTTATTTTTTTTCTGATGTGTATGGGAACTAATGTCCCTTGATTAGCAAACTGGATGCCTTGGCTTACCTGCTGTGTCTGGCACAAATTTGTATTGCCTTGAATGTATCTTTTTAATAGACACTTTGAAGGAGCACCCTGCAAGGTCATTGAGTTTGTTCTAACTTGGTGAGAGGGGCAAGCAGATCTTGTACTTTTTGGAATGCACTGCCATTTGTCGTGCTGTGTTGTTATCCTGTGTCTCCATTTGCCTGTAAGAGACCTGACCGGGGGAGTTTTCAACTCCCATGGCTTTTTAATGCTTTTTCACCAGGCCAGTTCTGTGCCCCTCTCCCCTGGTTATTGCAATATCCTTCTGCTCATCCAAAATGAGATATTTTCATGGAACTTGTTTGAGTTTTGAGACAGCAGTATGAGCTCACTAGCATCCAAATTAATTGGAAAAAAATACTGCTTTTCTCATAATGCTGAAGAAAGGGAAGTATGGGTAGGTGTTAGATAGTGAATTCCTATAGGCAGTTCTTCTAGGCAGACAAGATAATTCCTTCAACTTTTTTCCATTCTTGAAATTTACTCTTTTCCTTCACTTGTATCCTGCGGTAGGGCCCTAAAACAATTCGCACAATAGCCTGTGTCCTGATTTTGCATCTCATTTCTCTTGACTTCAGATGAGTCTCTGCTTTCCTAGCACTCCCTGTGACCCTCTGTTAATCTTGTTCTATCCCATAATTAATTCTACAGATTCCTGGTAAATTCTTTCTTGTGAATTCTAAGGGTACTTGAATAACATATTGCTGGCCAGCATGGGGAGCTGCTCTACAACAACATGTAATCTGTACATCCTGGTGCATTCTGGTGAGACGAGTTTTGTTGTACCTATAGCACTCCAGTGCAGAAAGCCTTCTGTCCTCCCATTAAAGCCAATGCCATCTAAAGGCTAATCTGATCCCTCAGGATTCAGGGCATCCAGACAGCTCGCACACTGGGTTTAAATTCCTCACTGCATTTGTAGTTGCTGTCCAACTGAATTGTGACAGTGCCTACAGGGCAATAGTGCAATTGCCTAAAGTTTATTTTTCTCTGTGCCTCAGTTTCTTTATCAGCTTTCAGTTCAATGCAGCTGTCTTAAAATATCTCTTATGCCAGGAGGTTTATTTATAAAATGCAGTCTGGTCTGCAAATGACCAATATTTTAGCAATGTGAGCTGGTTTTAGCAATAAATATTTACCTTATTGCAAATCTTTTAGTAATGTCCTGAGCTGTGTGACCCTCACAAGTTTCTGCCAGTATTGGGCATTTGAATCAATTTTACAACGTTTTCCTCAGTCATAACTATTTAGGGAGCTGAAAGTTGGCACTTATTTAGCTTTCAGTGTAGAATATTCAAAGAAATGTACCATATAGCTGATCAGAGTGAAAAACTTGCTTTTTTTATGTAAGAGAAAGGGGTTTTACAGATCCATGTTGTGTTGTCAAACTCAAAGAACAGAGACCAATTGCTTGTGTACCCAGGTAATCCAGCCCAGCTGGAATTTCCAAATAATATAGAGCCCTGATTTTATAACATAAGGGATTTTGCTCTGGCAAGTAGATAAAAGCAAATTTTCTGCTATAAAAGGACAAAAGATTTTTAAAACATCCCAGAGGGCTGCGTTTCCCAGACTTGTTTTCTGGCAGCTGATCTTGGAGCTCAACCAATGCTTTAAAAACTTCTTCCATTTTTGTAGCAGTGTGGGGAGCTTGTCAGATGAGGTTAGTAACTTTCTGGTTCTATGACTAATGCTCAGGACACAGTTCAGAGAAGGGCGTCAGCAGCAGCAATTAGTTCCTAAATTTCATCAGCAAACTATTAATCAGGATTACGATGGCTGTGCGCCTGATTTATCCTTCTGTGGTCTAAGCCACTTAAGTAATTGTTGTATCTTCCTTAGATTTACATACTTCATCTCCAGATGAATTTCCAGATGCCATTAACATCAGCTGCCTTCTCCTTCAAGATTATGTGGAAGAAGAACTAGGGGAAAATACAAAAATATGCTGCTGTTGAAATGAATGAAAGCCTTAGAAAAGCCGTTTGGTGGGATTTGTTACAGTAACACAAATCTAAAATAATCTCGTTAACTTGACTAAGGAAACAGATCAGAATGCTCCTGAATATCCATTTCCCTAAAATACTGTAAGGTTTCAGATTGCTGTATGATACATTCGTAAGACTCAAAGTATGTGAAAGCAAAATTACTTACTATGAGTTTGTATACTCACTTGAGTAACTTTATATTTTAAAACCACATTTACAGAATTACAGGCAGAGGTAACTAATTTAGGGTAAAGCAGTTACACTTTCATATGACCCTCAGGACTCACTCTCTCTATCAGAATTGGAAATCTGAGATAAAGAGTAAGTTAGGCATGTAAAAGACAGTCTGCATACCCAACAGCTTTCCAGTATCTTAAAAATAATAATTTTATTATTTTTGCATGATATTACTTTGTTTCTCTGGCTGTTGCGTCTCAAGACTCTACTTCAGTTGAACCCTGTTTAAGCCTATTTAAGCTTTATGAATGGGAGCAAGGTCTCACAGTTTTTCCCAGATTGTTTACTGAGTCCAGCCATAGCAATTGACTGTTGCAGTAGTAAAAAATCACTTTTGCTACTGTCATATGGAGAAATATGTGACAAACTAACTTAAAAATAGTTTGCTAAAGTAGTTACAGTTATTATAATTTCACTTACCAACGGCAAATTAAATATAATGGGATAGTTAGGCAAATATTTGCCAATTCCTCTGTTCGTTGACTCTTTCTGTTTCAGCTCCTTAAACAAAGTCAATGTTTCAAATAAAAATATGGCTGAGAATAATACTGAGATGACTGAGAGCCCTCAGCAAGCCAAGAGGACTATTAGTACAGCAGTCTCAGGAACTGGCAGGCAGGTTGTGAGGCACCTTTTACTGGATTCCTTTTCAAAGGGCAGCTCTGCCTCTGCAGGTCCACAGCAGCAGGTACTGGATCTATAAAGCGATGAGGAATGGTGATAGATGAACTGAGGCAGCAGACCCAGCTTCCTTCCAGAGTCCCTTTCTACCAAGTGAGCTGGGCAGTAGGAATCAGTGAGAGAGAGAGAAAGCAAAGACACCTACAGACAGTGGTACTATAAGTTAAAAACAGAGTTGATTAATACAGTTGCAGTAATAGATTTTAATTTGCTAAAAGAAAGGAGTGTAATCAATAGAACTAGATATGTGCATATAGTAGCCCAGCTGATGGATATGCTGGCAAAATAAAAGAGATGTCTTAAAGAAGTTCTGAGAAATCCCAGTTGTCAGTTTTCCTCCTATAAAGAATGATGAAGCGAGACACTTCTTGGGCACACATGGTTATTGTCCTTGTACTCACATCAGGCTAGCATTTTTATATCAGTGATTTTCAGTTTTGGAACAAGCACACTGTTACCAGCTTTTCCATCCAGACTTTCTCCAGGGGATTACTTTCTTCCAGTGCTTTCTCTTTCAAGAGAAGCAACAATCTATGTATCCTCCTGAAGGAAACACAAGGACACAGGGTATGCCGAAGTTGCTAAATTGATCTGAAGGATGATATGTGTATACATTAATTCATCCCTTTTTATAGAGGTCTATGAGCTTAATCCATACCAGAACAAGGCTCAGTGCACAGCAGAGTGTTTCACAAAAATTCTTCTGTCCAGGTTTCACTGGCCAGTTTTGATTCAATGAGACATACTTAAAGTGTTTGGTAAATCAAACTGTGTCTCTTCCTTGGTGTTCAGTTCAGACTGTAGTTGCATAGATGTCATGATGTATA